AAAAAAAAAAAAAGAAAAAAAGGAGAGAACACGGTGGAGCTGTTCGCGAATCGGTGATCACGTTCGAAAAATCGTGCGGACGCGATCGAAGTCGTGGTCGTTCTCAATTAACCAGAATTTCGTTTACTTCGTAGGAGAAGATCGTCTGTCGACTGTCAAGCTGTTATAAATTCACAGATGGAATAGGTATATTACATCCGTGGAAAGTGATGATTGTCATAAATAAATTATTTCTGGTATTTTTCTAAGCGTACGAAATAAAATTTTCAGACGATTCCAAGACACGCGTTCTAGAGGGGGGTTAATTCTTTGAACTATAGTTTTGAACTTTGAAAGATGTTTGTCAACAATCTGTTATATCCCGACGAAATATTTCTTAGCACGTTTTGAAAAATTAAAACTGCTGGAATCTTGGCTCGCAACGCGTTTAATCAGAGGCTCTTCCGGCAGATGTTTCTCTGTCATTTATCGATTATCCCGTTCTTCCGTTTTAATCATTCTATATCATTTTACGTGTTTAACAACTGAAATAATCCTATCGGGTAATTCACGATATATTACAAAAGTTTAAGGTATTTCATTTTATTTTGTATTTCACGTTCCCCTGGAAGCGATGGAAATTAATAATAAAATTCAATTAAATTAAAAATTCGGAAAAATGGTCCAACGAATTATTAAGAGTTGAAATAAAATTCCCCCCCATCCCCGCGAACTTGAGATTTTTTTTTTTTTTTTATAAAATATGAACGACGGTTAATTTTGCAATTTCGACTGTTCTTCCCTCCTCCCCTCCCTCTCCCAAAAAACGAAAACAAGGTACCCGCGTTAAACGCGTTCTCTCCGTAATTAAACTTCATCGTCCAAGGAGATGATAAAAGCAAGAGCGAGCAGACGACAACGGTAGCACAGAGGCAATCTCGTCCAGCTCCCATCGACTTGGACGATACCCGTTCATCCGTTTCATCCCCTGGCGTTTTTCCTGGTACACGTGTCTCTCTATCGGTCCTCCGTCCAGTCTTGTTCCTCCTCTCTCTCTCTCTCTTTCTTTTTCTCTCTCGGTAGGTTTTTCTGCGTGCCCACCTCTTCCTTGGCGGCGCAGTGCCGGGCGGAGAATTTCCTCGATTCGTCTTATTGCGCGTCGCGAGGCAGAGGAGAAAAGAGAAACGAGACCAGACGATATTCCGGCTCGTCGAAGCGGTGCTGCGAGAACGATAGAGCGAGAGGAAAAGTCGGAGGAAGAGAAGGTCTCGGGCGGGGGTTGGTGGGGAGGGGAGGGGGGCAGGGTGGCACAGCAGACCACCCTCGCCTGCCCCGGGGAACATAAAACTTAACAAACGATCAATTTTCTGTTCTTTGTTTCTTACCAGGCTAGAACTACGGTATTTCGCCACTCTCTGTTCTCCACCCACCCCCCTCTGGTTTCGAAGAGAGAGCGGTGGTTCTCCTTCGGCCCCAGCTCGACTCCCGTTCAACCACCCTCCCTCCTCCTCTCTCGCTTCTCCACCACCCTTTCCTTTCTTTTTTTCCTTTCTGTCTTCTTTCTTTTCCTCCTTTCCCTCTAGTTTCGCCCGCCGCGCCGCTCTGTGCTCGGTTTCGCCCCCTTTTAGCCTCCTCTCCCTCTCGCCCTCTCTCTCCTCTCTCTTTCTCTCGTTCGCTCACTCTCTCTCTCTCTCTCTCTCTCTCTCTCTCTCTCTCTCTCACTTTCCCTTGGCAATCGCCTATCTTCTTCTTTTCTTCCCTGCCGCGGCGCTCGCGAAGGGGGGGCGCTGGTTTCAACCCCTCCCTTCTGGAGCCCCGACGGCTCGGCCGCGCCACCCCTTCCATGTTTCCCTTTTTGTATCTCCGTCTCGGCTGTGCGTCGAAACGAGCCGCGCAGAGGAGAGGCACTCTATCAAAGTAGAGTACGTTTGGCTTGGTTTATTTTTTACTTTGGGAGGGGTCCAAATTGTAAAATCAATACTTCCTCCTAAATTTAGAATGCCGCCACCGAGCGACGCCGACGCGCGCTCGGCCTTTTTCCCTCGTTCCTTTTCGGCCTCGTGCAAAACCGGGAGGCTTGGTCTCGCGCGCGCTCGTCGCGCCGATGCCGCCGCCGCGCTCCCGCTCTTCCCGCACGCGGGAAAACCGGCAACACACGCAGCAGGGCGCAAGTGAGAGGAAGAAGGGCGGAGAGGGTGATCTCGCGCGGACGCCGCCGCGTCATCGCGCCGGAAAACAAAAGCCAACGCGCGCGCGGACGAGTGCGCCGCGCACTCTTCGAGACACCCCTCGGGATCAAAAACGACACCAACGTGTAACCAGGGGGTCCACCCATGACTCTCTCTCTCTCTAGCTCTCTTTCTCTCTTTCTCTCTCTCTCTCTCTCTCTCCGCGTACCACCTTCGCGCGATAAATACTGTCCGGCGCTGGCGTAATTCGAGTCTCGCCAGGGTGGAAGGGAAATTTTTCTGTTGTCTGTGGGTTCGTACAGATTCAAGAAAAGAACTTTGGCTCTTTCGCTTTTTGTGATTTTCGCCACGACGATGCTGTCTCGTCGTTTAATGGAAACATGAATTTTCCTTTTGTCCTTCCGATTTGTTCTTGCTCAAATTTTTGCAAGTTTCTTTGGGTGTTTTTAACGAATTTTTGATTTGTTTTTTTGGTATTCTATGTTTAATTTCGTAGAACATTTCACGTTATATACGGGGATAATAAAATTATGTTGGCACAAATCAGAACTGTAGATCCACTCTTATGAGACAGTGATTATGATAGAATTAGAAGCGGCAAACTTTTAACGAAATCGACGGGCAAGAAATTTCAAGTGTCAAAATTATAAATTTGCAACTCAAAATGTATCCACTTTAGAGCTCCTGTTTTCATCACGTTAATCAGTGTCTTCGTTTCAACCTCTACAATCGCAATTTCATTTGCTCGTAATGATCAATGAAATGCAAGGTAATAAGCATAAAACTGAAAAATGAAATGTGTGAAACTTTAAATATATATGCGGGATGTTGATTTACGACTTTTCTCCGATTTAAAATGCAG